AAAAAAAAAAAAAAAAAAATTCCCCTGATGACCAAAGTTCCTTCCCCTTTCCTTGGAGCATTTTCTTTAGAAAATTGTAACTGTAAATTCTTTCCCTGTCAAAAACTTGTAACTGTAAATCCTTTCTCTGTCAGTGAGATAGATGCAAATCTCTGAAAAGTTAAATAAACCTGTAGTCAGTTTTGCATTCCAGGAATGTTTTTCTTGTGAGCCTTGGGGGTATCTTTTTGAAATGTGAACATCAAGGAGGAAGGCAACTTGTGTCTCTCTCTTTGGGAGTTTAGCCTAGATACTTGGGTCTTAATTGTACTTTCTTGTTTGCTGCGAAGATATTAAGTTTAATTTTTCCTTTGGATAAGGAGATGTATGTAACTGACTGGCATACATATCTCATAGTTTTCTTCTTTTCCTCTAATGCAATAAGCATACAACCATGTCAACACAAATGCTAACAAATACTGAAAATATCTTCCACAATTATGACCTTGCTACATCAACTGACTCGTCAACAATCTGAATAAACAGAATAAAATTCTTATTGGTGACAATATCAACAAATATAAAATCTATCATTAAGATTTTAGTACCATTTATTTGAGTATTAATTATATATCAAATGCAGGGCGAAGTGTTTTGCATAGATTATGTGCTGTAATCTCTAAAATGACCCTACTATTTAAAATAGTTCCTACCACTATTCTCCATATAAGAATCCCAAGGCTATGAAATAATTTATCCAGTTTCCATTCCTCAAAAGTAGTGGTGAGTTGGACCAATCTGACTCCAGAGCCCGGCTTCTTTAGCACGAGGTGATTCTACCTCATTTACCATGAGGGAGGCTGTACTACATCATGCCAGCACGGATTCCTGCTGGATTTCTGATTATTTGGTTTGCTTTTGAGTCTGAGTCAATTTAGCCCGGCTTGCCACCTTTTTTTTTGTTGCTAAAGTGATGTGACATAGTGGAAATTCTCTGTCCTGAATATTAATAGCCTTACATTTCCCTTACTGAATTGGACTGGTAGCTGTATAATCTTGGGACAGGTATCTATCTAGCCTCAAACTGAGTTCCACATCTGGAAGCAGGGCACAACAATTTCCCTATGGCCATGAAAAAGCAGGGTAAGGCTCTATAAACATTACGTGTATGACTAGTTTTGGAGAAATCAGTAGATAAGGGTACAGACACCACCTTACTCAACAATATGTTTCCCAGGAATTAGGACAGCGTCTGGTCTGTCATAACAGAAATAACTAACCAAAAAAATATAAGGCATCATTTTCTCTACCTCTTATATTGTTATAAGAAATGAAAACAGCCTAGATTTAACTATTTATTTATTTTTAGAAACAGGATCTCACTCTGCCACCCAGGCTGGCGTGCACTGCCATGATCGTAGCTCACTGCAGCGCTGAACTTTTGGGCTCAAGGGATCCTCCTGTCTCAGCTTCCCAAATCACTCTGATTATAGGCATGAGCCACTACACCCAGGTTAACACATTTTACGTGTGTAAGACTGGGTCTTTTTTTTTTTTTTTTCCTTTCACATCTAGTTCTCTCAGTATACTACAATTTGGTAGTCAGTAAAAATTGAGTGCAAAAACCATCTATACCCACACTCAGCCTGTATACTGAAAATGGAAACCAAATCTTTCTGACTATATAACATTGCTTTGCAATTCCATTGTCTCTATTAGCATTATCCGGATCTCTTCCCAGTCCCGATCAAGTCTCTGTTTTGAAATATCATCAATTCCAGTTCTCACTAAATTTTGACCTTGTTTTCCTCCCTCTGAGACCTCGCCAAACTTCTGTTGGGGAGGCAGTGTCCCCTACCTAGGTAAGCAATAAACTTAGCTTTACGTTAGGTTGTGTTGGTGACATCTGGGAAGCCAGTTTTCAACAAAGCCTATAGTTTTTTAAGACCTTAAGGATTTTTTGGAAACTGAAAAGCCCTGTGTAAAGATAGATTTCATGACATAGCAAATAAGTGAGTATACACATTTCTGTTGCATTCTTTCACAAATCATGTGTTTAATACTTAATAATAATAAAACAAAATATCTCCATCATATTTACCTGTGATATAAATTGTTCAAATCTGTCAATTCACATTTTTTAAAAAATTGTAAACTAGAATTTCATCTCCCAAACAGAAATTCAGAACAGCATTTTATTTTTACTATCTCATGGCATTTTTATTTATATATTTACAGAGTTAATTTTTGAATAAAGATGGTTACATCTAATTTACTTGATAATGTGGGGTCTTACCTTTTCCAGTTTTGAAAGAGCAAGAGAATAACAGTCTTTGGCTCTGAATTGCATGAATCTCATGTTGGCTGGGTGAGTTAGCTCTGTGATAATACTGAGACTGGAAAACAACCTACATTTCAAAAGAACATTTGCATTACACTAACAATCCAATATGGTATTTTTTATAACAACATATTTATGAGTGAATGATTCCTAGCCTTAGGCATAAAACTATATCCAATTACAACAGCAGGCAGTGCCACATAAAATCTTCTGTACAATGCAGGAAAAATGAAACAATATTTCCCAAAGAATATTTTAACAGACATTTTAGCACAATAAGAAAAATAAATTCAGTAATTTGGCTTTTATTAGACATTTTCTCTTTACAATTATGGAACAACATAGAAGAGAAACTCATAAAGGTGATTTAAGAAGTTACAAGGTTACTTTGCGATGGCATTGAAACAGAAATTTGTAAAGATAAATAAGCTGATGGGCAAAAATTTCACATAATGAGCTTCTCATCTATTATGTGAGCTCTTTCATGTCCTATGGCCCCTTATTCTCATAGTGTGCAGTTTTTATATGTCAAATCTTGCTATAACAAACTTCTGAGACGAGGAAATCATTTATATAAAATTTCATTGTAATGAATCGGGGCCAAAGCTAAAGCATTGATAGTGTTCCCCAAAAGTCTCCTGAGAATTTTTTTCACAGGTCCCATGGCTTCACATTAGCTTTCTTCCCATTTGACACTCTCTCAAATATACACCAAAACGAGCACACACACATACACGCTCACACAAGATTGACTCCCCCCAGAGAAAAGGAGCAGGATGATACCACAATAAATGCTTTTTATTTTTGCTGTTGTTCATGATCTGATCCTTACCTGATATCTATGCATCCCTGGTAGCTTTCCTCGTTTAAATATTTTGATATTCTCTGTGGCAGCCACTTCTGTGATAATCAGCTTTGTTTTCCATATGATATGTCTTTAAAACAAGTTATGACCACTGACAATTCCCATCACTAGGCTGAACCATCCCTTGAACTCAGGGACTAGAACTGACTGCAGATATGCAGAATATAAACCGCCTATTTGTGTGGCTCAGGAACAAACAACTCCTGCTGCTCTCATTTTATGAATGTATGCTCATTCAGTCATGAGGGTGCTGTTACTTCCGTGTGCCTGAGTGCTTGATGTGGTACATGCTTCTTTTCACATGGGAGCCCTGTCCCTGAACCCCAGTGTTACAGATGAGTTTTTACCTTTCCTCAGGTCTAACTCCGGCAGGTTGATGGATGATTTGCCAGGACTGCTCCCTCCTGCTGGGGAGAGTGGGCCCACCCTACTGCTCTGCAGCCAGCAGGGCCTTTCTCAGCCTTCAGACCAGGCTTCTCTGATTATCTGCCTCTCAGGCGTGTTTCCACTGGGCTTTAGTCACCATTCTAGTTAAGACACTAACTCATCCTTAAGAAGAGTTTTTTTGGTTTTTTCCTCAGAGTTATCTGCGAAACTTAACACGCCCTCTTGGCCGTGAGCCCAAATGGACTAACATTGGGTCTTACACAATCAAGGCCTTTGAGAGCTAGGATATCTTTGGGTATTTTGTGAAATCTTTTAATAAAAGGAAGAAATATAGCCAGTATTATACAGCTTAATCTTCATTTTGATAATAAATAGTGTTGTAGTTCTTGATTTAGGTAAATTGTAATAATCGTTATTAAAATAATATCAGTAAAACAATAACCAGGATATAATTTCTTTTGCTGACTTCTAATGTTAAAAATACAGTAATTTTATTTGTGCAACTGATACATTTTTCAATAGTTCTGTGACCTTAAATTCATTACAGAAACTCTAAATATCAGATTCTGCAAAGAAAGGATGTAGCAAAGCATGAAGCTAGTGGCTATATACGAAAGGTAGTGTTTCCTAGTTAGAATGGTTATTACTATTTTCTTAGGTTTTTTTATTTTTCTCATGTTGTTATTTCTGCCTGAAATGCCATTTCTTTTCTGTTTCCTTTTCTCCTGAATCTCTATACTACGAAATCACAACCAATATTTAAAGTGGCTCTCAAATCCATTCAAGATGAAACTTAAACAATTTTTAAAGTCAGAATCATCCCCTCCACTTTGGCTCCCCAGTGTTTGATTTATTGATTAAACTACCTGTTGGCCTCTCAAGCTTCCTGGTTGGTTTTATTCATGCCTTAGTTATCTTAATAAATCGTCACACCAAGAAAGCAAGGTTTCCCTCTCAGTGCCTATGACCTTATATTCCTTTAATTAACAAATCTTTGTGAAAGTAAACAATTTCTCAATTCATGTTTGTGCATTTGAGATGAAATCTTGATGAACAGGGCACGAAATTTAATTAGATGAGCTTACGGAGAAACACTATAGTATCCGTATTTCACAGGACTTTCTTTCAGCAGCTCTGTTCTCACTCAAAAGTCACCCATGATGGTACATTCAATAAATAAAAGTTACTTTCCCAAAAACTCGTTAAAAATTAGAAAAGTGGCCTGATGGAAAAAAATGTCTGTTGACTTTTGGCTGGCAAACTCCATCTGGTAGGCCTGGGAAATGCCACCAACTGCCAAATTTCATACCATCTGGGAGTTTCAAAGTATTTATTTAAGAAATATTTTAAAATAACAATGTCACTAAAGATATTCACCATATATGGTTGTCACAGACAAAATTCAATCATCTAGGGAAATAGAAACTAAAATGAAAAGTAGGACAAAAATGAATCAATGAACATAAAGCCCTATAGACTCATGCAGATAATAAATCCCACATTCATGTACTAAACTTTAAAAATAAAAATTAATGGATCTAAGGTTCTCCTCTTTGTCTTTTCCTTTTTTTTTTCTCTCCGATGGGTAACATATGTCCATAAAACAATAACTATAAAGTACTACTCTAAGAATTGTCCATGTATTAACTCATGTAATCTTCACATCAGGTAGGAACCCTCTTGTGTTTCTATCTGTATCCTCTCTTTCCCTAGGAAGAGCTGAGGGTGTGTGTCTCAACCCTGACTCTATCTTTTCAGTGTCTTTAGATGTGTGCTGGTCAGTGCCAAGCTGTGAGGAGAGATAAGCCCTATAGGACAAGTCTTGTGGTTGTCCAGTATGGCTCCTGACCAAGGTTCTCAAGGGTGGATTTTAAAAGCCCACTTTTGCCTACACCAAAGTCACATCCTCTTGCCTAATATTTTTAACTCTATCTGCCTGACTTCTTTGGATCTCAATAGTTTTCAATTTGTGTTAGAAATCGAGAGGGTCACGTTACCTCTTCAAACTGCAAAAAGTACTCTATGATTTACCTCCAATTATTGGTTTATAGGTGAGGAAACTGAGGCCCAAAGAGACAAAATAGTATGTTCAAGGTAACATTCTAGTAGGTGGCAGGGCCTGGGTCACACCACAGCATTAGGTGCTGAAGCTTCCCCTCACCATTAAAATAAAGAGGAAGATAGAGCAGTGTAAGGAAACACAGATGATCCAAACAAAATAAATTATTAACAATATCTAGCAATAGATTCATGTTTCATATATTAAAAATCAACTCTTTTAAAAAATAACATTTTATAAATTACTTTCATTTAGCCTTAATGAATAATTATCAACTTTTTACTATCAGAAAGTTCTGGTCTCCAGTAGATAGATAAATACATAAAGTAAGATTCCTGACTTTAAACACTATAATATAATAGATGAAACAATAAAAATTCACAAATTATAAGGATATATGTATTTTTTCTAGGGGTGACAAATTGTGGCTGACTCAACACTCCTAGATTAAGTAGCATTAAGACACTAGTGAATGAATAAATTATGAAGAACATTTAGAACAGTGTTGAGATATCAGGCTAGAGATAGAATTTATGAGGAAAATGTAGTTACAAACTAATGAAAATCGAGTTTAACTTTTGAAACATTTTTATTTCCCTTAAAAAATATGTATTTTATCTTTGATATAAATCAGTATTTTCACTTTGAATCAAGTTGTGGTTACCTGGATTCTTTTGTTTATTATCCTTTTATGACACATCCTATCAAATAGAAATATACACATATATGTAGCTAGAAATATGTAGGGTCTTAATAAGAGTGAGTGAAAATACGATTGATTGACCCAGTCATTGTATTTGAGTGACTTCTGGAGTTGAAATTAAACAGGACAACATAATTTACTTGATGTGGCTCCCATTTCTGTTCTACATAAATGAACCTATAACATTTATGTTATTTTGGACTGAGAAACTGAAAGTATTAGCTAAGCCTGCCACCTAGTGAAAAATCTAGAACTAATACTTATATAATGAAACAGTATGTTAACGCCCTTTATATCCATAGACTATTACTTGTATTCAGTTATAATATTTTATATTTACAAATGTGGTTGTCTAATAGATTTATTTAGGCTCCTTTGAAACACTAATAACGTAAACCTATTTCCGTGTCTTAATATGAGCTAAACACATTTTGCATGTAGAACATTTTAGAATTAAAATGAAATAATAAGTCTCTTTTCCCTGGGCACTAGGAACATAATAGAGCAACACTGTAATTAAAAAAAAAGATATAGTTTGTTCTATTTAAAACTTTTCTACAATTACTTTGTGTTCTGACTCAGTGATGCAAATATAATTGTGGAGCTGTATAAAATATCTATGGAAGAGTTCTCTCCCTGCATTAATTTATTCAATAAATATTTTTACTAACCAATATAAAGATGAAAAATATACCATATATTCTATTTCACAGGCTACTGGGGGAACTCTGAAACTAGATGTGTTTGTATCACAAAGCAAAACACACAAATATAAGAACATTGGAAAATGTTTATGACATTTTATTCAAAATATTATATACTGAGCTATATGTTACACTACAAATTCTAATTTGCCATGGTAGCTGGAAATAATGTTTTTAAATAACAGGGGTATACATTAATAGGAGGTATACAGACACACTTAGATACACATAAAACTAATTGGAATTTTTGGACTGCAATTGACTATCAACACTAAAACAAGTAAAAATGTATGTAATCTTTCATAAATAATTTAAAAATACTTCAGGAAGTCTGAGTTAGTAATAAATG